TTTTTTTCTTACATTAATATCACTTAAATCTTTCATATCCTATTAAAAACTAAAAATGTGTCACTATTTTTAATATTTTTTAAAGGGAATATACGTTTTCATGTATAAATAATTGGTGTATTAAAAAGTTGAAGTTTAGGTGTTGGATATATAATGAAATAGGAATTAAGTGGTATGATCTTTCAAAAAATTGGAATTAAGTATCTAGTAATTCGATTTTAAGAGGCTTGTGATCAAAGAATAATAAATCCTCCTTGGAATTTAAAAATATAATAAAGGAATCCCTTTTATTTTAATTTGGTCATAGAAGTAAAGTAAATAAATGAAAATTTAAATTTTTATTGTTTGTTATGCTTTCAATTAAAAGTATTATGCACTTATATGGTTTATTAACTTTTACCTAAAAGACGTTTTTGTGTGTGAATGAAGTCTGCCCAAATTAGGGGTGTAAGTGAGTCAAGCCGGTTCGAGCTAGGATAGATAATTGGCTCGTGAACAGAACTCGATGAGCTAACAAGTCAATTTTAAGCCAACCCCGACTCGACTCGTTAGCTTGTGAGTTGGTTTGTTAAAAAAAAATATTGATATAAAATATCCTCAAAATATATTAAATAATATGACTTTTTTTAAGATATGAAAAATGTTAGAAAAATAATATTTTGCATTATATATTAGATGATCTCTTATTATTTATCTTCTAATTGTTCATTCTACTTGTTATATTATTGGAAAGTTGGATTATAATAATTTCATTTTCTCTTTTTAATATTAAGCAAGCAGGCACAAACTTGTAGATCTAAGCTCGAGCTCGAACTTGATAAAACCAATCAAGCTCAAACTTAAGTTTGTTGTGCGGTACACTTGCAACATTGTTTCCTTTCTTAAAAAGATATCCTTCACCTATGCAACTCATAGCTCATGTCTTCACACCATAAGTCTAACTGAAGTTACGCACAACTTCAGCTTCTCAAGAATAACACCCTTTATCAACATATCAGTAGGGTTCATGCTTCCACAAATTTTCTTAATCAACAACTGTCTGTCATTTAACAATAACCGTATGAAGTGATACCTGATTCGAATGTGTTGGTCATAGACTGAAATGTTGGATTTCTGACAAGAAATATGACGCTATGATTATCACTGTAGAGAATGTCCTTATGATCATTCTTGCCCAATTCTTCTAAGAAGTCATGTAGCATATCATCTCCTTTGCAGCCTCTGAGAATGTTGTATACCCAGCTTCTATAGTAGACAATGAAATTGTCTTTTGCAGATTAGATCCCTATGATACTGCAGTACCAAAAGTAGAAATATAGCTTATAGTACTCCTTCCACTATCAATGTCTCTAGTTAGATCAACATCAACATAGCCTTGTACCTCTGAACTCTTTCATGAAAAATACAAGTAAGTTTTTGAAGAGTCATTTAGGTATCTCAAGGTCCACTTCACTTCTTCCCAACATTCCTTTCCAGGACTACTTATGTATTTGCTAACAACTCCCACTGCATGGGCGATAACCGATCTGGTGCAAACCATAACATACATAAGTAAACCAATAGCTAAAACATAAGGAACCTTGCTCATGTGATCTCGTTCCTCCTCTGACTTGGGTGACTGATTCTTGCTGAATCTAAAGTGATTGCCCAAAGGTGTGTCAACTGCTTTGAACTTATCCATATTGAACTTGCTAAGCACTTTTTTTACATACTCAGCCTAAGAGAGTTTCAATGTGCTCTGACTCTATCTCTGACATTTCTCATGCCAAGAATTTACTTTGCCTCTCCCAAATTCTTCATTGCAAAGTGCTCTGACATCTGATCTTTCATATTATTTATCTCATCAATATTGGCTCCTGCAATAAACATGTCATCCACATATGACAGTAGAATAATATAAAAATTGTCAAAATGTCTGACATAGCAACAATGATCTGCCTGACATCCGTTACACCCTGCACTGTGCATGAAATTATCAATTTTTTTGTACCACTGTCTAGGAGCTTGCTTCAGGCCATACAAGCTCTTCTTCAGTCTGCAAACTGAATCTTCCATTTCTTGTACCAAAAACACTTCAGGTTGGTGCAAATAGATGTTTTCTTCAAGATCCCATGAAGAAATGTTGTCTTCACATATAACTACTCAAGGAACAGATCTTCTGCAGCCACCATGAAAAGTACCATTCTGATTGTTGTGAGCTTCACCATAGGAGAGAAAATCTCAGAGTAACCAATACCATTCTTTTGCTAAAAGCTTTTTACAACAAGTCTAGCATTGTACCTCTTACTGTCATCATGCTCAGTTTTCATCTGGTACACTCACTTGTTGTGCAATGCCTTCTTCCCTGATAGAAGTTATGCCAACTCCCAAATCTGATTTTCTAGCAGAGAATTCATCTCCTCCTTCATGACAAGCTTTTACTTGCTTGAATTTTCATCTTGCAAGGTTTATTCATAATTTTGTGGTTTTTCATTATCTGTCATCAAAATGTAGTTCAAAGTTGGAGAGTAACGTTGTGGAGAACTTTATGTCCTTTCTGACCTGTGAACTGTAGCTGTAAGGGTAGATTGCTCTGAAACTACCTGCGGAATAATAAGAATGGGTGCCTCGGACCCACTCTCCTTGTCACCCGCTTCTCTTCCCTGCACTGTGACATCTAGTAAATCATCAAACCTTACCAACTTAGATTCCTGCGCTGATGTTTCAGAAACTGTACTGAAGTTGTCCATGTACATAACCTTCTCATTGAAAATCACATTTCTGCTACTTAAGATCTTCTGATCCTTATCATCCTAGAAACGATATCCAAATGTCTCGTCTCCATAACCAATGAAATAACACTTCTTTAACTTAGCTTCAAGTTTACTTTGAGAATCAAGATTAATTAGAATATAAGAAAGACAACCAAAAGTTTTAATGTGAGAAAATTTGACCTATTTCCCACTCCAGATCTCCTCAGGCAATTCACAATGTAAACAAAACAAATGACCCCCTGTTGATCAAATAAACTGCACCACTTCTGCCCAGAAAGTAGGTAGTAGTCCTTCGTGCAATCTCATGCTTCTAGCCCTCTCATTGATGGTTTTGTTCATGTGCTCTGCAACACCATTTTGATGTGATGTTCTTGGAATGATTTTATTCATTATGATGCCTTGAGCTGCACAATACTCCTTGAACCCATCATCAATGTACTCACAATCATTATCTGACCTCAAACACATCAAAGTACTCTTAATCATGACCTTCCAAGCATTAAACACATTAAATGCATCTGAATTATGCTTCAAGAAATAAACCCATACCTTTTTGCTATGATCATTAATGAATATGACATATTAACGAGAGTCTCCAAGAGAAGTCACTGGAGAAGGTCCCCACACACTATGTGTACTAGATCCACCTTTCCTGCCTTTAACATCCTGTAATTTTTCAATAAACTGAACTTCCTTTGCTTCCTCATAATGCAACTCTCACGCATGACGAGATCAACTAACTTCAGTTCAGGTAGCTTGCCTTTGGACTGAAGTTCTTTCATGCCTCTCTGACTCATGTGTCCAAGTATGCAATGCCACATGTTAGTTGCATTCTCTGCAAGTGTAGTATCAATATTGTTAATTAAACTAGCAGTCATATATAGTGCACCAGTTTTCTTACCTCGAGCCAGTACTAGTGCTTCTTTAGTGACCTTTCAGGTGCTATCTAAAAGCACTACTGAATGTCCACAATCATCAAGCTACCCATCAGGTGCTATCTAAGAGCACTACTGAATGTCCACAATCATCAAGCTACCCAACATAAATAAGGTTCTTCTTCAGTTCAGAAATGTGTCTGACATTTTGCAGAGTTCACGTGTTCTTATTTGAAAGTGCAATGTCAATGTCTCAAATTCCTACCACATTCAAAGCTTCTCCATCTGTCAGATGTACTTTCCCAAAGTCATATGCAACATAACTCCGCATGAATTCCCAATGGAAAGTTGTATGGAAAGAAACACCTAAATCCGGTATCCAGTCATCAACAAAACTATGAACAGTTACCAATAGTGCATCTTGTATTTCTTCAGTTACCACATTTGTGTTATTATTCTCTGTCTTTTTGGGATTTCTGCAGTTACTCTTTATGTGGCCAATTTTACCACAATTCCAGCAAGTTACTTCTGACCAGACATTGACTGGCTTCTGCCTCTGTACTTTGATTTTGATATTCCTCTGTTTGAGTTCCTATAATGTTATCTCCCTCTGAAATCAACATTCAGTACCGAACTCGAACCTGATATCTCGCCATAAACTTTTCTGCACACCACCTCGGCCAAAATCAAATCACAAATATCATCATATTTCAGTTTAGATTTACTTGTAAAATTATTGATAACTTCCTTATGACTTCTCAACTATTTGACAATGAAACCAACAAGATTAGTGCACGTATCTCATCATCAAATTAAATTTCAACAGCGATAATTAATTTGTGATAGATTCTGAGGAAGTCCACAGCTGTTGCACAACAAAAGTACCTTTCACAATCTTCAAATTGAATAACTTTTTCATCAGGTGTACATTTTTATTTGTCGACGGCTTTTCATACATACCTGACAAGACTGTCGTAAGATCTACAGTGGTTCTTTTCTTGACGAATTTGTGTGCAACAGACCTTGAAAAGGTTAATTGAATAACCCCGAGAATTTGTCGATCCAACAAATTCCATTCAGCCTCTTTCATACTTCCCATTCTTTTTCCTAATAATGAAAGATTAAGTTTCTTCCCATAAAGATAATCCTCTATCTGTATCATCTAGAAACCTTCACTCCATCTCATGTCATTGTCTTTTCTCAGATCTAAACCAAATCTCTGATACCACTTATTGTGTGGTATATAGAACGATCGACGAAGAAAATAAAAAATTGAAACAAAAAAATTCACACAAAAAAAATACATATTTAGGTGATTCAGCAAATTAAAATTTTATAAACTCTCTATCTCTCTATATATATCGGAGATCTACTTAGGAAGAAACAGAGAAAATTCAGGAGGGAGCAGCGGCAATTTAATTTTCTTCCGGTAAGCTTTTAGCAGAAGGAAACCCAAAGACGGAGAGAAAAACCACCGCCTTCTCCTCACCGTAAGCCAAATCAAGAAGAAGGAGAAACGGAAAGCCTTACAAGCGATTCTATTCCTCTGCTTTTAACCGACGCAAAAGGAAGCCTCCGCCTTCACCTTTTCTCTCTTCTTCTGCGAAGCTTTAAATCAGATGGCGGGACCTTGCACCGTTTCGCGAATCAACAGGGAGGCGGGAGCAGGCGGGAGATGCTTGCCGGAGCAGTTAATTCCCCATTTCCTAGCCCAAATTGAGCATCTGCCGCTCCGTCCAACTCACATTACCTACCGGAGAGAAAAACCCTGATTATTTGCTCGGAGACCAAAATCCTTCCCTGGCTTCGTTCCCGACAATTCCGCACCTTCGCTCCTGTCTCTATTTTAATACGCCCTGGTTCGGCATCATGTTGCCGTGGTAAGTTCCTCTAAACCGACGTTTCTCCATCGCCGATACCGTGAAAAGTGAATTGATTAATTTTTTTTCTACGCTTTAGTGGTTTGCTCATGAAACAATTGTTCCATCACAAGGTTTATATTTAATCGTATCTTCTTGCTGCTGGATTTTTAATTATTATTACATCTGCTTGCTTCTTAATTTTGATTCATCTCATTCAGATGAAAACTCACATACATTCCCCCCATTTCCTATGTACTTAACATATATCTAACACCTAAAATTTAGTTTTTACTTGTATACCGCTCAAATCTTTTATTTTACAACCGAAATGCCGTCATTTTAACTTATAAAAATTGAAATAAACTTTTTTAGACATAGGCAAGGTAGGTTATATGTGAAAATTAAAGTTTAGGTTTAAGATATGTTAATACAAAAGAATTAGTTATGAGAAATTAAAAAAAAAAACAACCAAAATATGAATTTTGAGGACGGAGTTGTCACTTATTTTGAGCATGAGAAAGAAATTATCTTGTAACTTCATTTCTATCTTAACCAACTAAATGAATCGTTATTAGAAATCAGTGATGAGTACAATGCACTGAATGATAGAAAGAAGGAAGCCATTTTTATTTACTAATTTCTATTATGGTTTCACATATGTTAAGAGTTTACATATTTAATTTATTTTAATGTTGAGTTCAGTGCCAGTCAGCCCACAAATTATAAGAAATTATTTAAATTTATACACTTGTCATTGCGCACTATGGAGTGTGTGTTTGGTTTATTAAAGAAATGCTTTAACCTTAATTTCCATTACTAAATAAAATTCATATTGTGCTGATTTGTGGAATTCTACACAATTAAATGTTTCTACGAGGTGACGAGTTCATTCTATCGGAAAATGAGTTAGTTAAAATAAGTCACTAGAGGAGGACTCCATTAATTATAGAAGATTGGCTAGAAAAACGAGATCAAATTGCTAATTCTATATGAAATCACGTGATTGTTGAGGATCATTAGCATTTACTTTTGGGTTGAAGTTTTTGTTTGCCTTGTAGTTGAAAAATGAAGTAATATTAGTAATGGTTTGATTTACTTTACCTATAATGTATTTTATTATACTCTCGACTTCTTATATGCATTCAAGGGATGAATTATTTTTCTTCCTTCAAGTTTAGACTTATTATTGCCTTCTCTTCTTTTTCTGCAAGACAAGTTTAAATTTTTATTCTGAAACAATCTATGAATGCTATTTTTTTTATGTATGACTATTTTTATGGAGTCTCTACATTCAGTTAATGCTTCTTCTTCCAACACTAGTATAAAAAGAAACATTTCTATGGGAGTTTAAAGCCATAATGGGTTTTAGCTTTATTGCAAATTCTATTAGAATATGAGGATGAAAATATGAGAAGTGCTCAAGGTTTTTAACCTGCGGTCTATCAAGGTGTTGCGCAAAAGTTAAAAGAAAAATTTGAAATTGATGTAACAGCTGAGCAATGCAAAAATTTAGTTTGACACTAGAGAAGTATATAGAGACAAATTCAATAGCTCAAAACGAAGTCATGAGTATCATGTGATGAGAATAAGAAATGATTTTGATAGGTCATGAAGAGTATGTGTCACACATTCAAATATTTATTTTTCGCAATTATCATTTACAATATATTTATTTTAAAAGATGGTTGATAAGTTGTTATGCTTATAAACTTCTCCAAAAGATGCAGTTAATATTAATATTTCAATTACAAAGTATATGAAGTTGGAGAAAGTATGTGGTGAAGGACATGCTACCGAATAGTGGGCTAAATCTGAGAATCCCTCTTCTAGTTTGGTGTGTGAGCAGTGCATATTTAAAAACGGGTTGTAGTCCTTGAGATGCTGAGTTAGAAAGACAGACAAGTATTGGATCTTGCACCACTTCGTCAGCATCCTACTCAACTCAACCTCCTTCTCGAGAGAGTAAACCCTCAGTGACGGTCATGCAATTTTCACCACCATGTTTCACTCTACTTCACCTTCCGACTCTAAAGACCTCTTACGGTGATGCTCCACCTGGGGCAGATGATCCACTCCAATGTTTAGCTGGCGAGGTTATGCAAAACGACTCTAAAAACCGCTTTGGTGGCGAGGTTATGCAAAACGACTCTAAAAACCGCTTATGGTGGTACGCATCCTCTCATTGGAGAGAGCTTCCATCTGAAATATAACGCATTCTTGGTAACTTAGCTTTTCTTTTACATTTGGTCTTCCAATTTATCCTTGTAATACAGGCCCAATTACTGTAGAGGAAACAATGGCTATCACTGACTATCGATTTATAGAGACGACACGCCAAACCAAACCAGAGGAGCTGGTTGGTCCTTCTACTCAAGTTGCAACCAAGGGTTATCTACCCCACAACCTTTTCTTATCATAACAACTCCTTAAGTCCAGAGAGGGAAACTGATGGTCGAACGCAGTCTCATGAGTCGTTAGCCTGTCGTATGGACGAGACTATGGACTCCTTTGCTCGTGCTACATATCTTCAGCAAGAAACCATTGTATCATACTTGTGGGGGGATTTGACAGTTGTTTATGCAGACAAGGAGGCTCTCCGGGTCCAAGTCACAGATGTGGAGGTTCTTCTGGCCAAGGTTGCGTATATGAAAGCTCTCCGGGCCGAAGTAGTGGGTGTGGAAACTCCCAAAGCTAAGGTGACAACTCTATGGATGAACTGGCCAAATTTTGGGTCACTAGTTCGATTCCTCATGTGAGCACTGAGTAAGGAAGATAGAGAATTATAAGCGGTGGGCGTGCATTGTACATGAGTTTGATGAATCAAGGATTAGTTATGATCAAAGCGGCGGACGACCCGGCTGTGAAATATTTCTTTTTCATAAATAACAATTTCCTATAATTTGGTCATCATTGTTTTCTTGATTTAAGTGTTGAAATGACATCTTGATAGAACCCAATGTCGTGTTTTAGCTTTTGCAAGGGTCCTATATAAGGGTTTGAACAGATGTTAAGCAAAACTTTTTCATTTTGTGCTTTTGGTTGCCCTTAGATCATTTTATTTTCAAAGCTTGATAGCTACCAAATATTCTCCTCAGATTTTTGGGTTGGTTAAATCATTCGAGAGGTCGATCCTCATTGAGTTTAAGGTTTGGTTATTAAACGAGACTTGTGTTTATATCACTTGATCTACTCAATCCCAAGACATCCACCAAGAAGTCTGCTACAGTTTGAGCTTTGATCACCATTCAAGGGACATAAGTAAGGTGATATTCACTAGGCTCTACAGATAATTTTAATAATCAACCCAAATGTTTCAGCTGAGTGAGTATAGCCTTAAGTGGATGATCAATGACCTCCTTAATCAGATGGGTTTGGAAATATGGTCAAAGCTAGTGAGCAGAAACAATAAGAGCAAATGTTAGTTTCTTCATAAGAGGATATCTTATTTCGGTCCATCTAAGGACCAGACTGGTGTAATAAACTGGAAATTGCTTCCCTGACTCTTCTTAGACAAGTACTGAACTAATAGCTTCTGGGTCAACTTCTAAGTAGAATGAAAGTTCCCTGGCTTCAGACTTTGCAATAGTGGTGGGGAAATTAACAATTGTTTTAAATTCTGGAAAGCGCGCTCACATTCATTCGTTCAATCAAACTTTTTCATCATCCTCAGTCTTTTGAAGTAGAAGACACATTTATTTCTTAACTTGAAAATAAATCGACTTAGGGCTGTTATTCGGTTGATCAGCTTTGTACTTATTTGGTATTCAGGGGGGAAGACATGTCGAGGAGTTGCTTCACTTTCTCATGACTAGATTTAATTTCTTTGTGTGTGAAGAGGTAGCCCAAGAACTTTCTCGTTGAAGCCCCAAACGTGCATTTCAACATATTCAATTTCATATTAAATTTCCTAAGCATTTAGAAGGTTTCTTTTAAATGGCACAAAAAAAATTACAATCATTAGGTGCTGATAAGTTGCGTCAGTATTTTTCAGCCTGAGGTGCATTTCATTAAAATAATACAATCCATCAGTGGTAATAAAAACCGTCTTCACTTTGGTCGGGTGCATTTTGATCTGGTGAATTCTGAAGAAAGCATCTAGGTAACTCATGACCGAGTGTCATACCACAGAGTCTACCAGGGCATCAATCTTGGATAGTGAATAGCCGTCTTTTGGGCAAACAATGTTCAAATTTATGAAGTCCACGCACATTCTCCATTTACCATTAGACTTTTGCATCATAATCATGTTGGATATCCATAAAGGGTACTAAACTTCTCGAATATAGTCGGCCTCCAAAAGTTTCTTGCCTTCTTCAAGAATTAGTTCGGTTAAAGTCATTGTTATCGATAAGAGTTTTTGCTTTATTGGTCGTGCGGTAAACTGGCGTTGAGCCTGTTACAAGCCATGTTGATGGGGATGTCAAGCATTTCGGTTTCCGACCATGCAAAAATATCATATTGTTCCTGAAGAATCTAGATCAACATTCATTTGTGACATGCATCAAAAGTTTTACAGATTAGAAAAATTTTACCAAGATCTTCAGTTTCAAGGCCTCCTTCCTGTCGGTGTTGTATGTTTGATGTCTGTTGTTCCACCCTTCCTATGGTTCACATTTAACACATTCGAGATTGCCCCAAATCTCACCGTCATAGTGGAACTTCACAACTACATGATATTTTGACACCACGACTTTAAAATTATTGAGGAGAGAGCGACTGAATATTGCGTTGCAAGTTGGTGGTGCGTTAACCACCAGGAAATCATCCATGTTGGCAAATCGATTGTCACCTTCTCGCCCGATGACTGAGATTGATATCACACCGATTGCCTCCTAACATTTGCCAGAGAATCTGTACAATTAGCCGGTCGGTTGTCAAATTCATCTTTTCAAATGCAGCCGGGACAAAATGTTCCCCTAGCTCCTAGTATCAACCAGGATACTGCATAAAATGAGTGCTATAACAATAATGACATTTTTATAGAGATTCCCGTTTAGGGGAAGATCATATTGGTGAAA